ACAAACTTTTTTTAAGTTAATATGGAACATCATAGAGTGTGATTTTAAAATCAGTAAATCATCAACTAAAGGTGTATTCCTTAATGAAACTGTACTGGTTGGGTGGGTTTGTGGTCCTGTATGACATTGGAAGGATATACTGCTCTCTCTCTGTCGTCTATGTTTTGAAAACTTTTTCTTGACACAAAGCAGTATTGGAACCGCGGTTTTCTGTTTCCATTTCTTTCCACTCCGCTTCCTTGCTTTTTCAAAATTAAATTTTCATTACTAGAACAATCTGTTAACTTTTTCTAAATTAGCTAACTCTTGTTATTAGTTTTCTTTGTTCACAGTGGCATTGATACAATACAGCTTTATTCCCCAGAGAAGCCTTATGAAACTCAATGGATATTTGTAAAATTTGCATAAATGCCCAAAGTGGGTCAGGCATGATGGCTCAGGCCTGTAATCCTTTGCGAGCCAGAGGTGGGAGGGTCACTTGAGGCCAGGAGTTTGAGACCAGCCTAGGCAACATAATGAGACCCCTTTTCTACCAAAAAATGTAAAAATATTAGCCAGATGTGGTGAAGTGCACCTGTAGTCCCAGCTACTCAGAAGGAGGCAGGAGGATCGCTAGAGCCCAAGACTTTGAGGTTTTGGTGAGCTGTGATTGTGCTACTGCACTCCATTCTGGGGAGCAGAGTGAGATTCTTGTCTCAAACAAATAAAAGTCTCAGAGTGAGGAATTGAAATTATAGCCTAAAATTCAGTGGTTCTCAACCTTCCTAATGCTGCAACCCTTTAATACAGTTTCTGTGGGTCACCACCCACAGGTTGAGAACTGCTGGCTTAATTACTGTGACTATTCTTTCGTGACATTCTGTTAGCAACATTTTAGAGTAATTGTAAACATTTTTGTATATTTTGTTAAATAATCAGTATTTATAAAATAGTGTATTTTATCAGATTAGCCGTCACAGAATTTGAACAAAATAGAACTGAATCATTGTAGATAGCAAGTACAGATTTATCCAGATTAAATAATATAACTAGCTAATAGAGTTAAGCATTGAATTTTTTACTAATAATTTTTTCTTGAACTTGAAATTGAGTTATTTATATATGCCATTTTAACGTAACAATTTCTTTTAATACTTTCTAAAAAGATTGTGATGCTTTTTTATTCAGTTTAGCCCCAAGCAGTTAGGCAAGTCAGTTACCATGGTAACAGTAGGTATTAATTTCCTTACCTTAGTTAGAGGTTTTAGGAACACAGAAATCTCTGAGCTCGTCCACTGAAACCCAACTTTTGCTTGAGATTGGCCTCATGAGACTGGTGTTATCTAGAAGATGGCATTGTTTTAAGTGTAAAAATGCTGTGCTATTAAGTTGAATTTCTGTTCCATCGAAGTATGGCTTAAAAGGTGATTAAAAAAATAAATAAAAGTTAGGTGATTAAAGAGGAATCCCTTCTTAGCTAATTTGGAATGTAATTGGTCTTAATTATTCTTAATTTGTTCTAACTTAAATCTTATTGGTATTATTCTTCTTGATTTGAACTAAAAATGACTTCAAAAGACTCGTCCTAACATCTCACTGCTATCAAATAGAATCACTTAAGATGAATTTCTTTGTAAACACAATTCCATAATTTTGACAGACAATCTCTTAACATGTAATTGGCTAATATTACCAAGTTTGGGTAGTGAGTCTACTCATGCAGCTATCATGAGGACCACTGTACAGCGGATTGATCACAAAGGCTTTATCAAGAAGGTGTGTTAATGCTGGATATTTTGTGAATGTATTATGGAGATAAGGAGGAGTTAGCAGATGGGCCACTGTGCCCATGACTTGCTGTTTTTATGCTAGGAGCTAAATGGTTATTACATTTTTAATTAGTTTAAAAATCACAAGAATAACATTTTGTGAAATTTGTATAAATTCAGGTTTCACTGTCTGTAGGAAAAGTTTTATTCTAACATTGCTATGCTTATTTGTTTAAGTGTTGTCTATGACTTTTGTGCTGTCGTGGCAAAGTGGAGTCGTTTTGACAGAGACCATCTGGCTCCTGAAGCCTGGAATATTTATTGTCTGACCCTGTACTGTAGCATGATAAAGTGTAGCCTTAATTGTTCCCTTTAAAAAACCATTTCCCCCTTTTATTGATGTACTTTTGCTCTCCGATTGCGAAAAGGAACTATTTATACAAAAGTTGGCATGTAGAGACAAGTGTAAGGAATAATTTTAAAAAACCATCTGCAGGCTCGGAGCCCATTGGCAGTGGTTAGGGCGCTGGCCACATACCCTGGGGCTGGCAGGTTTGAACCCGGCCCAGGCCTGCTAAACAACAATGACAACTACAGCAAAAAAATAGCTGGGTGTTGTGGTAGGTGCCTGTAGTCCCAGCTACTTGGGAGCCTGAGGCAAGAGAAATACTTAAGCCCAAGAGTTTGAGGTTGTGAGCTATGGCGCCTACTCTACTGAGGGTAGCATAGTAACTCTGTTTCAAAAAAATAAAAACCACCTGCAATTTTGAGATAACTGCTAATATTTTAGTAAACATTGCTGTAGACCTGGGTAACCAACTTACTTTTTCTCTGCTGCATGTTGGAAGAATAAGAGTTGCGTTGGATCACACGGTAAATACACAAACACTAATAAAAGCTGATTAGCAAAAACAAGGGCCGTGCATGCTTTCTGTGATATCCAACACCACAGGAAAGCAAAAAAAGTCCACACAAAGGCTGCAGGACACCCCTGGTCTAGACCTTCATACACCACACACACACACACATGTATTTACACAAATTCGCATAGACTATTTGGGAATAACTTCTGTTAAGAGGTTTGAATATGTAGCAAATATAAATTTATTCATAACTAGTAACATTCATATAATACAAGGATTTATATAGTTGATAACATATATATTTTACATATTTTATCTTACTACCTATAATGCATGTGGCGACCCCAAAAGTTGATAATGTCAGTTCTGATTCAGTGAATCATAGATCTTACCCAATGGCAAATTTTGATAATTGATTCAGAGAATAGAAAAAAGCTCCAATTGCAGATGGAATACTTTTTTTTTTTGGAGGAGTCCCAAACTGTGAGAGACAGATCCCAAAATGTACCTTAGGACATGTTATGGCTTTGGATTAGTAGATTAATTTTAGGCAATGTATGCAAAAACATTGCACAAGGCTCAAGTGGCTAAGGCGCCAGCCACATACACCAGAGCTGACGGGTTCAAATCCAGCCCGGGCCTACAAAACAGCAATGACAACTACAACCAAAAAATAGCCGGGCATTGTGGGTGCTTGTAGTCCCAGCTAGTTGGGAGGCCGAGACAAGAGAATCCCTTAAGCCCAGGAGGTGAAGGTTGCTGTGACCCAGGGTGACAGCTTGAGGCTCTGTCTCAAAAAAACAAACAAATGAAAAACAAGAACAACGTTGTACAAGGGAAGTTATTTGGTTTTGGAACTCCTGTTTTATATTTTCTTAGATGGTTATTTGACTATCCCTTCCCCCCATTTTCCATCTATAAACTAATAAATCCGTATTTCTAGGCTTATTATGATAATCTAAATAGTTGAGTTATATATCTTGCTCACATTTTCTGGATTTGGATTCTTTGCTATTTTTCTATGGGAAATACTCTTAATAACTTTTCAAGGCTACCAGCTGGTTTGAGGTCACTAGTATGTTTACTGGGAACCCTGGTTGAAGGTTTCTTCCTTTCCCCTGTAGTAAAAGAGTGAGTTACAGGCCCGCTGTTCCCTCTTTCTTTCCTAATGCACGGGAGTGATGGAGTTTGGTCTGTATGGACACCTTACGTTTGATAAAGTAATCTTTTAAGTTTTTTGTTCCATAAATTATTAATGTTTTTAGGTTTTGGTTCATGCTTGGGAATATAAATAGCTAAAATGGATATTTGCCAGACACTGTTTGAATTCTTCAAAGTTTACTTTGCTATATATCAAATATAATAAGCTATCCCTAAATCATAAATAGTTGCTGTGATTATTTAACATTAACATCCTGTTTCCTTATGAGAGTCTTTGGGGTGTCTTCACAACTGCTACCCCCTTATTAGAAATTTGAAATACCAGCCAGGCACACCTGTAATCCTAGCACTCTGGGAGACCAAGGCGGGTAGATTGCTTGCGCTCAGGAGTTTGAGACTAGTCTAAAGCAAGAGTGAGGCTCCCTCTCCACTAAAAATAAAGAAGAAAAAAGAAAAGAAAATAAGAAATAATAGGAAGTATTTAGGTTTGAAGAATTTACTAAGAACTTAGGCTACTTCAGTTTATATGAGTCCTATCAGAGGGTGGGTCCATTTTACTGTTAACCTACAGAGTATATTCCAGTTCTCTTATTCCCTGTGTTTTCTTTCAGCAGTATTTGTACTTTGGTTTACATTGAGGAGAGTCCTCAAAGGTAGTACACAGCTTAATAAAAAATCATTTAAGAAATTTTTTGTTAGGGAAACTTGTTCGCCAAGAACATAATGAAAAGTCTTTAATATAGAAGAGCTGTTATCTGTCTTTATAATTAAATCTTCAAGTAGACTTGTGAATAAGTCTAACAGTTTTGTTGAGTTTACTTAGATCTTAGGATTGATGATAATCATATAGAAAATTAAAGATGTCAGAATATATATGACAATTTATACACCCATGGATTTTCATTGTTAATGAAATAAATGTTATTTTTTGTAAGGATTAGTGATAGTAAGGATTAGTCATAGAATAGAATTTTGAAATTGCTAAAACTTTAAAACTCAATTAAAATGGCTGATTTGTTTTTTAAAAGGAGAAAATACTAAATGCATAGTTATTCATTGTTTTTCTTTGTGTTTTTGGCTCTTGTAAACTGTATTTAGGCTTAGATGTCACAACTTTAAATATGTATATTTGGTTTTCTGTCATCTCCACAGGGCTCTCTCTGGGTTTTCTTTCAAGATTGTGTCGCAGTCACACATAAAGTCTTTGGTTTTTGGATTTTGCAACTAGGGCATTTTGAAGATGAATGAAGAAAGATTGGAATCAGCTCCACACCTGCGGAAAGTTCCTAAATGGATGTTTAAGAAGAATAAAGGATGTGCTGTAGAAGAAAGAAAGGTATGCCGTGCCTTGATTATTCTTTCAGAGGGAAATTTAATTTAAACTTGACCATACACTTCTCACTTGTAAACTTCGGGTCATTGTTTGAGTCACCAGGATCTAGTTACTGAGTGGGTAAATGGCAGTATATTTTAATTGAATTTACAAAATGAGAATTCTTATTATATATTTTCCCTTTTTATATTCAGTTTGTGTGATTGGCCTTACTAATTTGCTTTGAATTCATATAATAATTTAGACAACATTAGCATTGTTAAATTTTTTGATTGATTCGGGTTAAGTCCTCATAGATTTGAGGCCTTTTTGCTTGATTTGCCATTCAGTCTTCAGCATTTTAAGGCAGCCTTGTTACATTTGGACTACTAATATGATTATCAGGAAAAAAACTCAGCAAAGTAAATGCTTTTATGAAAATAGGATTAGAAGTTTGAAAATAAACTTGTTAGGAAAAATAATTTTATAGTAGGATGTTTTTCTAGTTATTAAATGGTCTTTATGACTATTAGTCTACAAAGTATTAATTGATAAAATTTAAAACTGTAAATTAAATGCTTCAGTGAACTTTATTATTTCAGTGAACATTTATTATTTAATATGAACTTTATTTGCACTTACTTTGATTTTTATTTAACTCAAGGCATCGTCTGTTCAGAGGAGTGTTTTTGAAGATGACCTTCCATTCTTAGAATTCACTGGGTCCATTATGTATAGTTATGAAGCCAATGATTGCTCTCTCCTTTCAGAAGATATTGGGTAAGAGATTTGAATTTCCTAAATTCATTTGAATTTGGACCCTTGGAAGATAACTATTATGGTAGTATTTGTGGGTACACTGAGTTTTACAGTTGAGATATGTTTAACAGATAATTATTTCTACATGTAGAATATAACTAAGTCATATTCTACTTTTTTTTTTTTTTTTTGAGACATTGTCTCACTTTGTCACCCTTGGTAGAGTGCCTTGGCATAAAAACTTACAGCAACCCTAAACTCTTGGGCTCAAGTGATCCTCTTGCCTCAGCCTCCCAAGTAGCTGGGAGGTATAGGTGCCAACCACAGTGGCCAGCTAATTTTTTTTTTAATAGAGACAAGGTCTCACTCTTGTTCAGGCTCTTGAACTCCTGAGCTTCAGCAGTCCACCTGCCTTATGCTCCCAGAGACTGTTAGTACTTTTAAATTTGGTTGCCTTGTTAAATTAGAACTCTACAGTAATGCCATCTAAGGGTCTTGAAGCATTTTACAAGCAGAATTAGTAAGGAATTCTTTCAGATCTCCTTGAAGTTGTTATAACTGTCCTTTTTACTTTTTAACTGTTATATATTGGGTTAAAAGAAGCAGAGGCAAGTTAAGCTATTTATTAATGAGGTCCTGGTGGCAGCTCTAATCTAGAAATAGCATTCCGGTGTCCTCACTCTCACTATCTTTTTCTGGCCACTTTTGAGTCTCATATTGAATTAAATTAAATCTCATAGAGAAGGTAAAATCTATTATTTATGATTACATATTAAATCTACCATCTTACCTTTGGTATTACTATAGTATGTCATATCTGAAGGCAATAAGCACGAGTGATCTGAAGAATTGTAGTTTTGATGAATTGTATGTATTTTATCAAAGGCAGATAGGTTTTGTTTTTTCCCTCTCTGTTGGCCACTGTTTTTTTTTTTTTTTTTTTTTTTTTTTTGACAGAGTCTCAAGCTGTTGCCCTAGGTAGAGTGCTGTGTCGTCACAGCTCACAGCAACCTCCAACTCTTGGGCTTAAGCGATTCTCTTGCCTCAGCCTCCCAGGTAGCTGGGACTACAGGCGCCTGCCACAACACCTGGCTATTTTTTGGTTGTAGTTGTCATTGTTGTTTGGCAGGCCCGGTCTGGATTCAAACCCTCCAGCTCTGAGTGTATGTGGCTGGCCGCTGAGCTATAGGCACTGAGCCCGTTAGCCACTTTTAACATTATACTATCACACGTTTTCAACAGTTTGATTATGAAGTGTCTTTGGGTTGGTGTTGTGTGGTTTGTATTTATCCCCCTTAAGGTTCATTCAGTTTTTGGATCTGTGGGATAATAGTTTTTATTAAATTTGAAAAATTTCTTTGTTACTCTTTTTCTTTCTGGGACTCTGAATCTGCAGAAGTTAGGTTGCTTAATACTGTGTCATAGGCCCTGACATTCTTTCCTTTCAGTATTTCCTTCCTTTTGTCTTTTTTTCTCTCTGTGCTTCAGTTTAAATAGTTCCTTTTGCTACGTCTTCAAATTCACTTGTGTTTTTTTTCTTCTGTAGACTCTTCATCCTGAGACTGTTTTATTATTTATGTATTTATTTTTTAAGGCAGTCGCAGAACAAAGTTTATTGAGGAAGAGAAAGTTAGGTTTACAGAGTGAGAGCAAGATACAGGCTTACAGAGCAGGATACGTTCACCGTAGGCAGCAAACGGACCTCCACTGCCCGGCAAGTAGGCAGAGAGGCACTTTTTATTTATTTTTTTGAGACAGTCTCACTCTGTGGCCTTGGGTAGAGTGCTGTGGTATCGTAGTAGCTTATAGCAACCTTAAACTCTTAGGCTCACGTGGCTTCCTGCCTTAGTCTCCCCAGTAGCTGGGACTATAGGTACCCACCATGATGCCTGGCTAGTTTTTGCTGTTGTTTAGAAGAGAGGGGGGTCTCTCTCTTGGCTCAGATTGCTCTCACACTCTGACCTCCAGCGATCCACCCACCTTGGCCTCTCAGAGAGCTAGGATTACGAGTGTGAGCCTCCACGCCCAGCGTGACTTTTTAATTTTAGATAATTATATTTTTCATCTCTATTACATTCCATTCAGTTTTTTTGAAAATATTATTTTCCATTTGGGTCTCATCATATTCATAAGTCCTTAAACATATTTTGTCTACTTTGTAACAGGTGTTTTAATGTACTTCTCTGTTAATTCTAATATTCTAGGTTTTTTTCCTATTGGATGGTTTTTCTTCCGGTATGGGTCATATTTTCCTGTTTCTTTGCATGGCTGTTAAATTTTTTTTTTTTTTTTTTGATTAGGCATTGTGATTTTACCTTGTTGAATATTAGATTTTGTTGTCTTCCTTTAAAGAAAGGAGCTTTATCAGACAGCTAAGTTACATGGAGATTAACTTTATGTTTGGGAGTATTTTAAAAGGTTTATTAGGGCCTACAGTTGCCTTTACTCTGCGGGTAATTTAGCCAAGTACTAATGTGTAACCCTTCTGGGGTCTTTGCTGATTGCCCCAGGTGATCAGCAAGGGTTTCTACCCTGATTTTTCAGAACTTTAATTCCTCTTGCCTTTTGTTACCTGTTATTGTTTATATTTGCTTCTTTCACAAATTTTAAAATTAAAAATGTATTTTAAAAAAATAAACTCAGCTTCTGCTTCATGTCAAGATGGAATAAGAAGGACCAGGGCTTTTGTAAGTCCTAGGAAGTGTTCAGAATTTTAATGTCTGTCGCCTTTGTGTAAGTCCTAAGAATTGTTGTCCGCCTGCATATCATAGTATTCTAGGAAGACTGCAGGAGAACCCTATGAAGATTCCTAGAGCTCTTTCCCTGCCCAGTTCCCTCCTCTCCAGACCTCTGCTCCACAAGTTCCAACTCTGAGCTTCTGTGGTTGTAAACTCCCTGTTGCCTGGAATGTGTTCAGGCAGAAAGCTGGGGCAACTGTAAGACTCTTTTTGTTTCTCTTCCTGGGAGGTCATAGTCTTGTGCTGCCTATTCTCTAGTGTCTGAAAACAGTTGTTTTTATATTTTGTCCAATTTTCTGCTTTATAGTGGAAGGATAAGTGGTCCTTATTATTCCATCTTGTCATGAAGTAAAAGCTGAGTTTATTTTTTTAAAATACATTTTTAATTAAAAAAATTGCAAAATAGGCAAATATAAACAATAACAGGTAACAATATAACAAAGACGCATATTCCTTCCACCTTGCTTTATCAAATTTAATATTCATTTTCTTTGAATCTTTATTAAGAAATGAAACAGTGAAATACAGCTGAAGCCTCATGTGTATGTAGCCTTTCTGATTCTTCCCCTGGACCCCTTTGAGATAACTTCTATCATGAACTTAGTGCTTAGCAGTCTCTCACATGTTGTTTATAATGCTCCTTCATAATTTTATATCCTGAAATGTTACATATATTGTTTTATCTGCTTAAAAACTTTAAAAAATGCTGTCAAATTATGTGTGTATTCTTTAACTCAATGTTAAGTTTTTCAGAATTTTTCTTGTTGATTTACTTTCATTTTAACTTTTTTTTTTTTGAGACAGGGTCTCACTTTGTCACTTGGGCTAGGGTGCAGTGGCATGATCAAATTTCTGGGCTCAATTGGTCCTCCTGGCTCAGCCACCCATGTAGCTGGGACTACAGGCTTGTGGCACCATGGCCAGTTAACAGTCTTGTTCTATTGCCCAGGCTGATTGGAACTTCCAGCCTCAAGTGATCTTCCTACCTGGGCCTCCCAAAGTGCTCGGGTTATAGACAGGAGCCATGTGCCCAGCCCCATTTTCGATTTTATATGATAATCTGTTGTTTCAAAATGCCATGATTTGGCCATTCTCTTATTGATAGAAATTTCATTTGTTAATAATTTTCTGCTATTAGGTACAATGTTGCAGTGAATATTCTTTTTTTTTTTTTTACGACAGAGTCTCACTTTGTCACCCTTGGTAGAGTGCTGTGGTGTAATAGCTCACAGCAACCTCCAATACTTGAGCACAAGCAATTCTCTTGCCTCAGCCTCCTGAATATCTATAGGACTGCAGGCGCTCACCACAATGTCCAGTTATTTTTAGACATGGGGACTGGATATTGCTCAGGCTGGTCTCGAACCTGTGAGCTCAGGACAATCCACCCTCCTTGACCTCCCAGAGTGCTAGGATTATAGGTGTGAGCTACTTTGCCCAGCCTTGCAGTGAATATTCTGAAGCATTTCTGTCTCTTTGTACACATAAGAGAGTTTCATATACTTATAAGAAAAAATTGCTAGGTTTATTCCTCCTCAACTAGATACTGTCCCTGTTAAAGTTTTGTCCAATAGGATTTTATCAATTTATGTGTTCACTGATAGAAATGCTTCTCAGAACTTAATATTATGAAACTTTGATTTTTGCCAGATAGAGTGAAATTGTATAGATTTAATTTGCATTTCTCTTGATTGCTAATGAGAATTAAGTGTTTTCACATATATTTGGATTGGCCTTTTGGATTTCCTTTGGGAATTACCCATTTCTGTTATTCTCTATTTTTCTTTGGGATTATTAGACTTTTCTTGTTTTTTAAGGAATTTAAAATACTTTCTGGCTATTCATTATCGGTTGTATGTACTGCAGGTACCTTCTACTGGTCTGTGGTTGAATGTCTTTTGATGCAGAAGTTTAAAGTTTTAATGCAGTGAATTTATACTGTGTTTCTTCTCTTAGCAAGACTTTATCTGATGGAGATGTAGTAGGATTTGACTTGGAATGGCCACCAGTATTCAGAAAAGGGAAACATGGAAGAGTTGCACTCATTCAGTTGTGTGTGTCTGAGAGCAAATGTTACTTGTTTCACATTTCTGCTATGTCAGGTTGGTATCCGTTGCATTTTTATATGGCTGATAATTGTGAAATGCCAACTTTACTTGCTGCAAAATTAAGCTCTTTCGTTAGCTGGCACTTTGTCTATATTCCACCCAAGTCACTCACATCCCTTGTTTTAATTTTCATGACATCCCTCTGAGGTATTGATTCCTGTTTGTTTGTTTGTTTGTTTTAGAGTAGAGAGAACTGAAGTTTAAAAGGGCTACATGACCAGGAATATACTGCTAATACTAGCAGAGGTGGCATTCACACTATTTGTTTTTTCTTACCTTTTGTCAATAAGGACTCTTTGTTCTTGGCAAGGAAGGAAATAAGGTGACTGTGTTTCTGAATTTAAGCTTAACATAGAAACAAATTTAAATATAAACATAGTATGTATAGCAAGTAGACAGTAAAAATCTATCATACTTTACTTAGCTGGTAGAAATAACAATCAACTGTTACAGTTTTTCCACAGGGATTAAAAATGTTGCTTGAAAATGAAACAGTGAAGAAAGCAGGTGTAGGAATTCAAGGAGACGAGTGGAAACTTCTACGTGACTTTGACGTCAAATTGAAGAGTTTTGTGGAGTTGACAGATGTTGCCAATAAAAAGGTAGAAACAATACATGTATTATTTTCATAAGGAAGATGATTTTGTGGTCACAGAATGTGCCTTCTATTCAAATGTTAGATTTAGAAAAAACAAAGTTGTGTTTTTGTAGCAGTAAAGAAATTTCAAGTACACGTTCTGTAATGAAAGCTTCATTTGTAATCCATTGTTTTGGCATACAGTTTGTTTAAGCAAATATTTAATCTCCTCTCGCAGTTCTTGAAATTATTTCATTTCTTTCGTGTATTTGCAAGTTTAAATACTGTTTTAAGTTTATCTTTTTAATCCATTTCTACCAGTAACTTTTTTTAAAGGGAGAGCAGAAAGCAGCTCTTAATGTTTAATGCTTTTACTGAAAGTTTGACCATTAATTCTACCACCCGTATTTCACATTTTATTAATGAAGTCATTAAATTTAATTGTTATATTTAGCCAAGTATTCATTTGGCTGGGAAGTAGAAAGCCTACTAATCTCTTCAACATTTTTCCTTGAATAATAATTTTAAAGTTCAAGTATTTTAATACCTAAATTAGGGAAATTCCAGAATTAATTTTTTTTTTTTTTTGAGACAGCCCTTGGTAGAGTGCTGTGGCATCACAACTCACAGCAACTTCCAGCTCTTGGACTTAGGCGATTCTCTTGCCTCAGCCTCCCAAGGAGCTGGGACTACAGGTGCCTGCCACAATGCCCAGCTATTTTTTATTGTAATTTGGCCAGGGCTGGGTTCTAACCCACCACCCTTTGTATGTGGGGCTGGTGCTCTACCCACTGAGCCACAGGTACCTCCCCAGAATTAAATTCTTATAGTGTGGGCTGCACATGTTGCAGGAAGTTTATTGAGATCTATCTCTGGGTTGCATTTTGATACATTTTCTGATTTTATTTGTGATATGGTCATTTGGTGGTATTTAGGAGTATCTGAAAATAGGAATAATAATTTTTACTGTGTTGATTTTTTATTACTTCTAGCTGAAATGTATAGAGACCTGGAGCCTCAATGGTCTGGTTAAACACCTCTTTGGTAAACAGCTTTTGAAAGATAAGTCTGTTCGCTGTAGTGATTGGAGTAATTATCCCCTCACTGAAGACCAGAAACTGTATGCAGCCACTGATGCTTATGTATGTACTTAAAGATCTTTAGATTGTGATGTATTTCTTAAACCTTATCATAAGTTACTTTAGAAAAATTTTATTA